CGCCACCATGAGTAGAATCTCCAAAACAAATAGGCTGCAGATATCAACACAGACTTGCATATATTAGAAATTATTATGCATAGCATACCACAATATTAGAGTATGTATTAATGTGATTTAAAATTTAAAGAGTGAGGATGGAAATAGAGTTAGCTGCAAGTTATAAGACTAATAAGAATAAGATATGTTAGGATCAGTTATACAGGCTGCAGACAATAAGGATTGACATGTTACATGGTCATTGCTCAAGACAATGCTATAAACAGGTTGGCTTTTTCCTTGGTTTCTTCCAGAGACTTTATTAGGCTCTTGATGTTGTCTTATTAATATATTCTAGTTTTACCCCGTATTCATAAGGTTGAGGTTTTTTCCTGTTTAATAGGTGTCTATAATGTAAGGTTCCATGTTATCTTTTGATGTTGGGAAATCTAGTTTTCTCTGAGACTAATCATGAGAGACGACCTTTGTCTCCTATTGGTCCTCTTGCGCTCCCCAGTCAAGTAGAATTTAGCTGTGTATATATAGTGTTTGGATGTAACAAATGGAGAAGATAGATATGAGTTGAAGGAGGTGGGGAAGGTGTGAGTAGGAGGGTGTAGAAGTAAAGTGCGGTGGGTAATGTAGATAGAAGAGGAGAGGATTAGTGCTTGGTTGGTTTTTTTTTCCAATAACGTCAGTGTCTAACCTTCAGTAAAACTTTTCATTACATTCTAGTAACTTGAATAATTTTGCCAGTCATGATTAGTCTGGTTTCTATGTGTTTTGAATATTTGTTCATGGGTTATACAGTATAGTTTAATGCATATGGCTTTATCATAAATATATTTGACTAGTGTTTTTTGTGATTTATATTATATTGTCAGTATTCTTGAGAATGCTTAGTGTTTGAAAATATGGCTAATTTCTGTTGTCTAGATTTAAATCCTGATCCTTGCTACTTAATAGCTATGGAACCATGGGCAAATGTTTAACCTATGTGAAATTCCATTTCCTCGTCTGTAAAATGGAGTAATAATCACGGCTACCTCACGGGGTTGTTGAGAAAATTAAGTGAGTTACTACACAAAAAACAGAAGTTTGCTTGACTCATAGGAAGAATTTACACATTAGCTATTATTATCTTATAGTATGATGTTTCCTGTTTTGTTTTCCTTAACAACGTGTAATAAAATATCAGCTAAAGAGAAAACATTGTTTGGAAATTAGAAATGAGGGGAATAGAATGAAAAAAAAAATCTGTCACTACTGCTATATTTATAAATGAAAAAATATACAACATGTAACATTATATAACAAATATATATAATGTTACATAAAAATAAAAAGTTTTTTATTTAAAGTGAATACCCTAGGCAGTTTAAAATGATGAGTTACTGTTATGAGATTTTTGTGGATATAGCTACTTGGCAACTGTTGGATATTTTGGTTATGGTGTCATATTATTGGCTTTTGTGTTTTTCCCTTCTATTTTGGTGGTAAAAATGTCAGAGTATCATTTGCATCTGAACACTAATTTTATTGTTATGAAAAATATTGGACAGAGAAAAAATCATATTTGCCATTCATTTCAAAGGTAGAGGAAAACTAAAGAATGATTCAAAATTTCTTGAGTCACAGTGTTCTTATGTCTCCTGTATGAACTACTTGCTTCCTGGATTTTCTATTTTTATTCTTCTTAGTTTTCTTTATTTATAAAGATTAGTTGTATAATTATAGAATTTTAATTTATCACACATTTAATGCTACTAGTGATACTTTTATTACAAAGTTTATTATGTTTGTAAAAATGATACTCATTAAATAAAATTTAAATATTAAGAAAAAAAGTACAATTGAGAAATGTCAAATAATTTATCAACAATTATTTTTAAAATTTGGTGAATCTCATTTTAGGAAAATTTCAGTTTACCAGCTGGATCCAAATATATACATATATATGTTTTGTTTTGATGAGTGTTTGAATGTGTAAAAATGCTTTTATTCCTTATTTTTTATGTCTCTATTTTTAACTGCAAAGATTTTAGCTTTATTTTTAACATTTATTTTAATACATATAATCTTAAATAAGAAAGAGAAATAATTTCTTAATTAGTAGACATTCTTAATTTCTACTAGAAGCATTAATAAAAACTTTAATAATATGTGATTATAAATTCTTATTTTCTTTCACATTGATTTAGTAACTTGATATGTATTTATAAGTGGGTAATAATTTTTCTTTAGCTATTTTAGGTAAATGGCTTCATGTTCGTACAGATTATTTAATAAAATATATTTTCTTATAATACTATTTGTAATACACACACATTATATTTATATAAAAATATTCCTGAATGTTAGAAAAAGCTACATCATATTCCTGTCAGAATTTTTTCTAGTTACTACAGCCCTGGAATTCTTATGAGTGAGATTTTGCCACCCATATCATATCTAATGCATTACAAATGAGAATGATTAATAGGTGACAAATGACTACCTGGCTCATAAATATCTCACTAAATTGAGTCACTTTCTTAAGAGAAAAAGTTTTGAGTGTCAAAGTATTTAATTACTGCAGCTGGTGATACTAAGAATATAACAAAAATTTTGATTTAACCATAAGCAAAGAGGCCAAAAAGTTAGTAGATTGTTGAGCATGTATTTGAAGATGGTCAATTGGTTGCCCATATGCTCTCTCTCTCTCTCTCTCTCTCTCTCTCTCTCATTGATATATAGCTATCACCTCTCTAGCTGTCTATCTGTATCTAACACTATACCAAAGACTTGTTATATATTAGAATATGATACAGGAGAAGAGAAATACCCCTTGTAGATCTTTTTCTTTTTTTTGAGACAGAGTCTCACTTTGTTGCCCAGGCTAGAGTGAGTGCCATGGCGTCAGCCTAGCTCACAGCAACCTCAAACTCCTGGTCTCAAGCGATCCTCCTGCCTCAGCCTCCTGAGTAGCTGGTACTACAGGCATGCGCCACCATGCTCGGCTATTTTTCTATATATATAGTTGCCAATTAATTTCTTTCTATTTATAGTAGAGGATGGGGTCTTGCTCTTGCTCAGGCTGGTTTCGAACTCCTGATCTTGAGCAATCCGCCCACCTCGTCCTCCCAGAGAGCCAGGATTATAGGCGTGAGCCACTGCGCCCGGCCATCCCTTGTAGATCTCTAAGAATGTATTAAATATTTATGAAGGGAGGCAGATGCCTCTTTCTGAAACAAACCAACATACCACTATGCCTTCCCCCCATAATTTGGTCCCTATGAATTTTTCTTAACTGTTTTTCTGTACTTTTACCTTTTCTCATTTGTTTCCCTCTCTGTTCCCATCCATTCCCCCCTGCACCCACACTTCTCCCCATCTCCTTTGCTTTTCTTCTGTCTGCTTTGGACATCGTAATCCTCCTTTTCAGAGTTTTCTCTGCCTGCCCTCCCTATTTCTTTCAATGCCTTTTGCCCCAGTGGCTCCTAAATTGCTTCAGGTGAGTAACTCTGAGAACATTTGGCCACAAATACATTCACCTGAGCCCTGTCAATTTAGTGACACAGTTTTCCTTAGATAGAGGAGGATCTAGGAGGAAGTAGGAGGAGTGCCTAGGAGTGCCTCCTATGAGGAAGTAGGAAGCACTAATGCCTTAAGTCTTGTAATGAAAACTTGATCCTGTTATACAGCATTATGTTTCTATCTAATCTTTTATTAGAAACCAATCTCTCTTGCATGAAGGGAGGAAAATGGACTCGAAAAAAGTATATTTTATTGTAGGTGTCAGATGTAGTATGGTAATTATTATGGTAATACTAATTACTATGGTAATTATGTAGTAGTCTCCTGTTTCATGATTGTTAGATGTTTGCATTTGGGACACTTCATGACTAGGGTCTTGGGAAGGCTGGATCTAGGTAATGTTTTAACCAAAACCATTTTAAACATTTTCTAGCTCACAAACTGCTACATAAATTTACATTAAGAAAGAACATTTTCAGGAGCTGATTGATGTCTGGAGACTAAATGGTTTGGTGAAAACAATACTGGAATTTGAATCAGAAAACCAAGGTTAAGGCTGCTTGGATTCTACCCCTTATTGTGTATTGCTATCTCCCTTCCTTCTGAGAATTCTTCTGATATATTACAGCCAACAGTTTAGATAAAGACAGAACCACACCCTTCGTGGTCTCACTATATATTCATTATGTTAATCTTAAATGGAGCCTTGAGCAACTTCTGCCCCTCCTCATTCTTTGCTCATGAGCATACTTCCTATTTCATAAGAAAATGTAAGCAGTGGGAGGGCTTCCTTGTGATCCCATCACATCTGCTAGGCTACTCAGCCTTCCCAAAATGTCCTACAGAATGGCCATCTGTACTCTCAAGACAAATTCCTCTGTTGATGTCTGGATGCCATCAACTGTCATCTACTTAAAAGACATATCTCCAGCCTTCCTCCCCTTTTATGCATCAAAAATGGTTACCTCTCTACAAGATTTTTTCCTTTAGCATACAACCTTGCTGTTATTTCTTCCATCTTAAAAAAAATTCATAGTGACAACAACAAATTTTCTTTGATTAATCTTTCCCTTTCAGCTACACCAGTTTCTCTTTTTCTTTTCACAGCTAGACTCAAAAATGTTGTTCACACACTGTGCCTCAGTTTCTCCTCTTTCTTAAATCCAACCATGTTTCTGTCCCCAGCATTCCAACAAACTGCTCTTCTCAGAGTAACTGATGATCTTCATATTCTTGATGATATATGCATATTTTTTTACTTGTTCAGTATATCTTCGCAATTTTTAGAGAGGTTGCTTACAAAACAGGTTTAGGATTTGTTAAATTTTCAGATTACTTTTGGTAAACTTATTGCAAAATGTATTATAGTGACCTACCCTTTAAAGTTGTAAAAATCGCACATCTCTTTTCATTAAACGATGTAGCAGCAACAGAGGGATTGACATTTATTCTTCATAAAAAGAGAGGAATGACTATTAAAACAATAGGTCAACTAAAATAATTGAGTCATGAAAATAACTGAAAACTTTTTTTCTTACAGTTTTACAATTTGTCATAAAACAGAAGTTGTCAAAAACACTCTAAATCCTGTATGGCAAGCATTCAAGATCTCAGTCAGAGCATTATGTAATGGAGATTATGACAGGTAAAACAAATGACAACTTTTCTGAGGATTTTGAATTTTCACTATATATCTAATACCCTAAATCAGATTTTTAAAAAATTAAGTTGGGCTCTTTACCTATGTAAATGTGTGTAAATACGAACATGGATGGCTTATTCAAACATTTTTAAATAACTTTTTTTATAAATCCACAATGACTTCGGGAAGAGGGATAATTTGACTAATGAAAATTTGGCTAAACTGACTGATTTTCAAAAAAAATTGCAGAGTGATAAAAACATATTGAACATTAGTTTAAGTTTTAACTCATTATTCAAAAGTTATTTCAGAATTTTCGTTACTTCAAGGCTTTCATGTGATATTGTCCTACTGTAGAATAAGTAAATATATAAAAGGAATAGAACTATGGCTAGATATATTATCAACCCTGACATACTCTTGAAAATGTTATTTGGCATAACTACTATGATAACTGCTGATTTGTAAAAGTTTCATTGATGTGTAACAGGGAGATTTTAGCATTCTACAAGTAGTTGGGTAAGGCAGGCCTGAAGATCTTCCCATGATGTAACAGATGACTTCTTAATATCAATTTTTTTCTTTTCCTTATGAAACATGATTGTAAGGTTATAATATAAAAACCTTTACCCACTCACCCCCCCAAAAGCAAATAAAACATGACCCGATCTCTTTGCTATTTTACTCACCTTGTTACTTATATAGAAGAAAATAGAAATTTAACCAATATATTGAAGAAACTATTGATTACCAATATGTTATTACATTTACTTTGAAATTTATCATGCCACTGGACTCATTTTATTTATTGAATAAGATCATAGCTTTATTTAAGTTGACTCATTTTTTTTTCCGTAAAAAAGTGGTTCTCACAATGTTTCCTGATTAGCAGAATGAATATCAGCTAGTAACCTTGTAGACATTTAAATTCTCAGACCCCACGCCAGACTTGCTGACCCAGAAAGTGTGGGAAGGAGATCCAGTAATCTGTGTTTTAACAAGCCCTCTGTGTGCCTCTAATCAGTGCTGAGTTTGAGAAATACTGCTTCAAGACAGTGGTTTTCATGCATGGAGAAGTGGGTTCATACCTCCCCATTGAGGAGTTAGATCAAGCTACACATCCTTTCTCATATACTTTCCCTACTTCCTTTAATGAATAATAAAGATTCTAGAAGCCTGCTTTAAGATGTAAATTAAATTACATTAATAAAATTAGCAAAATCAGCTTCAAATTAATTTGTAGAACCTACATGCATACATTATTTTATCTCAGAAAATGAACTTATTTTTAAATTCTCAATCATATATTATTTTGATCTTTATACTAAGTCATTTTATGTGTGTGTTTTTCCCATGGACAGAACAATCAAAGTAGAAGTATATGACTGGGATCGAGATGGAAGGTAAGACTTTTTTTTTCATTTGTATTCTTGAAACTTAATATACTTTAACACGTACATACATTGAAATGACTACATTTTTAAATTGTAATTTCCAGAGTGCCTATTTTGTCTTGTTTTTCTAAATGTTATTGAGGTGTTTACATGAAATTTTAAAAAGAGTGTATTTTTTCAACCTGGAGATAAAAAATAGAGGTTTTCCTTATTTTTAGTTACATAGTAAAGATTTTCAATTCAGACGTGATGATTTCTCATTGTGTCCCTTAGAGATATCTAGTTTCCTAGTTGTAGAGCAGTGGTTCTTGAATTTCTGCATCTCACCATCTCTCTGAGGATTTCCTATAACCTGTGTATCCCATATTGTTCAAGAGAGTACACCTGAGCGTCACACCCCCTCACAACTCCCACCAAAAAAATGAAAGAAAGAAAGAAAGAAAGAAAGAAAGAAAGAAAGAAAGAAAGAAAAAGAAAGAAAGAAAGAAAGACACATATCAGATAAACAAACAACAAAACAAAACTCTAGAATTATGTTTGGTGATTACCAAACTAAATAGTTCCTCAGGGCTCCACGATCACAATCTCCCTCTGCCTGTCATAGTAGATATTGAAGACTGAAAGAGAGGGAACACGCTACTTTTTTCTTTTCTTCTTGAAGCATTTTTTCCAAGAGTTTTTACTGTCTTAAGTAGGATTGATATTGAGATTTTTTTTTAAATGGTGATAAACCAAGGGACCAGAAATGTTCAAATCCCACTTTGTCCTAGCCAACTGCCTCTCCAGGTAGCTCTGGGAAGGACTAAATTACAGACACCAAAGGAGAAAGAAAAATGGGAAAGCAAAGGGTATTTATAGTTTTTCACATAGCTAATGCCCGAAACTCTAACCTATGTTTCACTGATAAATGGAGCTGAAAAGTGAGGAATAAGCTCAAGATCTAAGCAAGGCCTTTCTCTCTGCTTCATATGCAAGCCAGCAACCAAACCCAAAGGAATAGCTGAGCACTCCTGTGAATATAGGAACAAGTTGAAGAAGGCTGGCCTGTGCTGAGGGGGGACCCCCTCTCCTCCATTCTGCATGGGCAGGAAAATACCCAACTGGAGAGCCACATGCAAGCATGTGTATGACATTTGCCCATATGCTCACCTGCACAGATGGTCCAATAAGTGTCCTGAATTTGACCCAGTTAGTATTTTTTCCTTTTCAGGAAGTAATGAATATATAAGACTTATCTGCTAAATAACTATAAAAGACCCAAGGATTTCAGTCTTCCAGTTTGTATCCCAAACATGATCATGGTAAGGAGTCATAATACAATACAATAATTAAAGTGTATTCTTAGAGATAATCTATACTACCACTGATTTTTACATTTCTGCCAGGTATCCGTTTGATTAATTGATTATTTGGTTCTACATGCATTCTGAAGAAATCTTATCAGAAAACTTTATGTTTTCCCAGGAACTTATGCTCCATTGCTTCATTAAATTTGATTCACTGAGAAAATGAGTTTTTCTGCTTAGAATAATAGAAAGAAAATAACGCCAGTCTGAGTAAAGGAAGACTTTATGCCCTATATCGTATACCGTATTTTAAATTTTTATCGAGAATGGAGAAAAGTGGTGGCCTTCCCCTAGTAATTTTAAAGAATTAGGGAAATGCTTTTAATTTGACCATTTAGAAATGAGGGGCATAAGTTCAGATTTCATATGCATCCATGAACATTGAATCCTAAATTTGCAGAAGTTAGTTATTGCATTATCTTCCTCTGAATGGTGAGTTGCACTCATAACTAATGCACTTTCTTTCTTTCAATTATAATTAGCATTATATTTGTAAATTCTGGCACTTAAGTGAAAGTCCTTTCACTTGGTCTTACTCTATGATTCTTCGATAATTGGGATAATGTGATATCATGCATCCATGAACATTGGCCTTACTCTATGATACTCTCTGAGAGTTTTACAGTTTGGTTTTTAATATTATTATTATTATTTTGATTCTTTTTTTGTGTTCATCTCTTCCCCGCATTGTTTCCTTTTATAGTTTGGTTGGTTTGGCCTCTCTCATTCACATTGCAAGCTCTCCTCAACGTCTGGGGAGTCCTAGAAATCTAGTATATATTTTATGCTTACAGCAGATCTAAATTCAGACTAGCTACATTTCAAGTACCCTGTAGCAACATGTGGCTAATGGTTACCATATTGGACAGCACCACATAAACTTTAATGAAGTCCCCATATAATATGCATCATAAGTAACTTTGAATCAAATGGAATGTTTTATCTACATTTAATAGAAATTTACAATTAATTGTCCCCTTATAAAATGGGGGAAAACTGGCCAGATATTTGTATTATTTTATGTAGAAATTTAACCATAGAAAACCAATAAAGTAGTCTCTTTCAATCTAGACAGAATGTGAGTCAAAAATTAAAGTGGAAAATGCTTGATGGTAATACTTGCTTACAATGACATGTTGTTTTACTGGATAGGTTGCTTCAGATAATTGTGGTAATAATGATAGTCACAGACTGGGAACTTTAGGGAATGGTGTACTCCTCCATCAGTATTCAGATGGTATTTTTCACTCAATTCATCTACTTGAAATTAATTCTGTAAGAAACATCTAGTGAACCTATGAAGCATACAAAAATGTGATAATGCTGTTGACTGAGTTACCAGTTGACATTAAATTAGGGATCTTGAGCTGATCTAGAATAGAAGAAATATAGTTAGCTGTCTTTTTTATTTAAACATATTGACAAAGATCTGAGTATACAGAAGCATTGTTTGACCTTGGTATGAATAATCAGTTTAAATGTATTTAATTTTCAACAAGTTAAACCACTGCTTTACTAAAAACATTCCCCTAATTCTCACCATTTCTTTAACGGATGGGAAGGAAGAATACTTAAAACTAATTTTAACAATTGAAAAGCTAAAGTGCTGAGAAACTGACTTTTCTGGGTTAAAAAGCAATCAGTGGAGGTATCCTTGAAAAGCTTCAATTGCTTGAGGTTGCTTCAGCTGAATTTGTAGCTTAATTTAAAATTCATAGAGCATTAGTGGAATAGCTCCGCATTAATATCATATGGCTCTAATGTAGGAATGATTGCAAATGGGCCACCAAATAGCTTTCTGTCTACCAGTAAAATGCTTTGATGAGAAGACAGAGCTAGAGAACTGCCAATCATAAAATGCCAGCTTGTGAATTCTGTTGAACAGGGAGAGTCAAAGTTTCATTTTTGCCACTCTGCAATTTTATAAAAGGTTGTCATTTCAGAGAATGATACTTATTGTAATTAAGTGCAAACTTCATTTATCTGTGAAATGCCTTACAAATGCTATTATTTTCAAAGGATGTTACCTTTGGATATATCCAATAAATGCATTTAATGTTTTCATTCTGGGTTTATGCCTCATATGACCAAGTGATTCTTAGCCCAGTGCTTAAGAATTTACTTGTGAGTTATCTAAACCAAACTCATTTAGGGGAAGCATTTGTAAACCTATTACATTTTTCTCAATTATTTAAAATTCCCTCACTTTATTTAATCTTCCCCTAACAATCACCCACAATTTGCTTGCAATTAACCCTGAATATCCTAAACTTGTATTCAGCTTCTATCACTTCTTGGAGACTTTTAAAAATGTTGATAAATGCAATTTCATAATCTACGTATTATTCACTGACATATTTATTTTTTCCTCCACCCCCTAGAAAGGTAGGTAATGATTTTTCCTAAATGTAGCTTGTGAGGTTTTCTGTACACTTTCCCTTCTATTTATAAGTTTTGCCCTCAAGAAAGACTGATTTAATTATGTATGGATTAGATACCTGAAGTGGTAATCAATTTTTAACTTCTGTACATCTTCATTTATTTATTCTATTGGGGCATATTCATTTCTATGTCCCAATAGAAATTCTGTTAATTAATTGATGAAGATGTTGTTCTTGAACACTTATTATGCATTAAACGGTTTACCAGGTGATGCGACTTAATTAAAAACAATCTTTATACAATAATATTTTAATTTGATTTAATTTTTTTTTATGTCATTCTACCTACTATGAATGAATTTGGACTTGGATTCTTTCAGATATATATTTTAGGGAAAAAGGCTTTTTCTCCTTTTCAATAAGATTTTTAAGAAAATTATATAAACTTTTCACACTGGCCTTTCACTAAAAGATATTTGCAGAGTAGATTTTGAAAAGTGTTATTCGAGCCAATTTCACTATGTGGTTTCAGAGTTGGTCCTGTCCTCTTCCATCACCATGAATTTGCTTAGCCTCACCACCTGGAGAGCCCTTCTGTGTTCATTTTTGTCTGTTAGTTTTCTGTTCGGGCCCAATTTAAATGCTATCATTCGTGTGAAATCTTTCCTTATGCATTTAAATGCATTTAATTCCTCTCTCCTGTGTGTTTACTTTGTCACCTAGGAATGTTTATTAGCATATCTAACCCATTATGAGTTATACTGAAATCATTTACTTCTGCTTTATCTTTCATAATACAATAATTCCCCCTTACCTGCAAGGGATATGTTCCAAGACACCCAGTGGATGCCTGAAATCGTGACTAATACTGAACCTAATATATACTATTTTTTCCTATCTGTACATACCTATGATGAAGTTTAATTTATTAATTAGGCACAGTAAAAGATTAACAATGATAACTAATAATAAGTTGAACAATTCTAACAATGTCATAATAAAAGTTATATGAGTGTAGTCCCTTTTTCTCTATTAAAATATCTTATTGTACTATACTCACCTATTTTCAGATCATGGTTGACTACAGGTAACTATTGATTAAAACTGCAGAAAATGAAACCATAGATAAGGGGTCTCCCTTAATTACACTCTAATTACTATTGTAATTGTAAACTCCCCGAGGTCAAGGGCTCTGTTTTATTATAATATTATTCCCCACCATATGGATTTTAGTGCCTTTAATCTAGATTCTTGCTGTGTTATTTCAATATTATAGAAGGAA